ATCATCACTGATTGTCATTGTGAATATCATTTTCCAATGACATACTTAAATTATAACTGTGATAAACAGTGATTATTTCAACATTGTTTCAGCGATAATATACTGACAAGAAAACACATGGAAGTGTCCTCCTTCGATTTTAATGAGCTTTGGCTATGTTAAAATACAGACATAAACAAGATGCTAACAATATTTTATACGTGCTGAGTCGCTTGTTAAGAGTATACTTTTTTTTATCCAGATTTGAAAAAAATTCGTTTTATTTCTTTCTGACAGTAACGTTTCTCTTTGGATTGCCTTCAATTTGGCTCATGTAGCGTTTTTTATTTAGTATTTGTAATGTAGAAACACAAAAGAAAGGAATTATGTGCTAAGTGAACCAAAGTTATAGAATCAGTATTTTTTCAGTAAAAATCGGAAAATCTGTAAATCTTTATATAATAAGCCATAAATTGAGTAAACACCACCAAAAATCTCAATTTTTATTGAATATAACATATTTCATAGAAATTTTATACCAGATAAAATAATTAGTAAAACAGAATAACAGATATTTTAATATTTTTTCAATTAAATTTTATTTGATTTATTTTCAAATTACATTTATTTTCTGTTTTCCACAAGATTGTTGCAAGAAAAAGGATGTTATTATAATTTTTCTAAATTTTTACGTTCACTGGATTCCTTATAGTAACGTATCAACTATTACATAGGTATTATCTGTTGATAATTTAATATAGTTTTTTTTTAGATAGAATCTTATAGAATAATATGTTCAATTTTTTGGCCATTCGATTAATATATTGTTCACAGAAGTGAAAAACACCTTCCCCTTCAAGAAAAAGATAATTAATATAAAAGATAAAACAAAAATATTTGTTACACCATGCACATCTTATAAAACATGGTTTTTAAGCGCAAAGTGCACAATGGTTATTCAAAATTAAATAAGCATTGAAGCAAAATTTATTTGGATTTATTTAGAAACCAAGAAACTGCAAAAAATTATATTTTTTTTTCTTGGTTTGACAATCTAAATAAATTTTGCTTCGATGCTTATTAAATTTTGAATAACCATTATGCATTTTGCGCTCAAAAACCATGTTTCATAAGATGTGTATAGTGTAAAAAATACAAAAATTTTTGTTTTAATTATCTTTTCTTTGAACAAGAAGATGCTTTTCACTTCTGTGAACAATATATTGATTTAATGGCCAAAAAATTGATTACATTAGATTCTTTCATCTAAAAAAATAAAACTATTATATTACATTAACAATAGGCAATACCTATATAACAATTGATACGTTACTATAAGGAATCCAATGGACGTAAAAATTTCAAAAAAAATCTAATAACGTCGTTTTGTCGTAGTTTTTTTACAACGATCTTGTAGAAGACAGAAAATAAATGTACAAATTGGAAATAAAATAAAATAAAATTTAATTAAAAAGATAATAAAATATCTCTTTTATTTATTTTATTTGGTATAAAATTTCTATGAAACACTTTATATTCAATAAAAAATGAGATTTTTGGTGGTATTTACTCAATTTATGGCTTACATATATGAAGATTTATAGATTTTCCAATTTTTACTGAAAAATACGGTTTACCATAACTTTGGTGCACTTAGCACATAATTCCTTTTTTTGTGGATCTACATTGCAAATACTAAATAAAAAACGCTACATGAGTCAAATTGGAGGCGGTCCAAAGAGAAACGTTACTGGTGAGTAAATATTATGTAAACCGTCAAAGATATAAAAAAATGTTTTAAAGAAAAGTTTTACGAGTTCAAGTGCGCTTTACAATGGCGCACTTTAAATTTTGAAAATTAAGAGTGGAGATGGGAGATAGTAAAAATATAATTTTTTTTAAATTAAAATGCACCTCTGTAAAGCGCAATTAAAGTTGTAAAACTTTTGTTTAAAACATTTTTTTATATCTTTGACGATTTACATGATATTTACTCAGAAAGAAACAAAAACGATGTTTTTCAAGATTGGATATCATTCCCTTAACGTGTGAGCACGTATATAAACTAATGAATATTTTATTTTTGTCTACATTTTAACATATCCAAAGTTTATTTAAATCGCAGGGGAATCCTTTCGTGTGTTCCCTTGTGAATCAAACAGTGAATATATCACTGAAAGACAGTGAATTTCACTGTCAAACAGTGAATATCACTAAATAGTTCCGATATTCACTGTCAGTGCTGAAAATCTATAGTGCACGTAACGTATATTATAGATTTTTAGTACTTGCAGTGAATATCGGAACGCAGCCTCAGTATATTATCGCTGAAACGATATTGAAATAGTCATTGTTTATCACTGCAGTTAATTATAAGTATGTCATTGGAAAATAATATACACTGACAATCAGTGCAAATGATTCCACTGATTCATTTTTAGAGAGCATTAATAAAAATCCAGATATAATAGAGGAGAGTTGTCGAATGCGTACCACTTAAGATATTTTTGGTTATATTTCATATGGTACTATTTAGAATGCAAATACGAACGTTAGAAATTGTAGCTTGATGTTCATGATATTTAATGTTATCTTATGTAATCTTACATGTTAAATCTTTCACTAATAGCAAATTTATTTGTTCTAAGCTTTTTTGTAATATGCTATCAAAAGCACGATTCAGCAAACCGATCGCCTAAATCATACCTGTGAGTTTTATTAATAGTATAGTTCCGGCTGGTATCATTTTGTACCAACAAACTGCCAAATTGTTGTACGAAGCAAATATTGGCACATGTGACAGCTCTAGACGCCATGTTGGACTAAGAAAAGATAACGGAGATCTAAATTTCATAAATTTTTTGCGTTCTCAGCATAACCTCTATCAGCCGGAACTATGATGCCTATACTTTAATCGTGGAGAAGGATTTTTTAATCTCTTGCCTTTAATTATGTTTATTTTGTTTTGGAAAATAATCGCGTTCGATCGATAAAACAGACGACTTTAGGATCGCCTTAAGGGGGTATTCTAATTTAGAGGCCAAATTGTTATGCTATTTTTGCGAATTTTTTTAAAAGAAAGTATAAAGTTTTTTGGGACGAAGTTTTTTCCTACATATTTATACATATTTGAAGTATGTTTCAAAATATTTGTATTTAAAAATAACTATAAAAAGCGCTGTATACAATATATACTGA